CCCCAAAACCCCAAAACCCCTTGATTGTGAATTTAAGGGCAGATTAAAATTTAAAAATAATAATTCAATAATGGCAAAGAAAAGTAAAACTCTTCTGCTTTTGATCGCTACTATTATACTAATGCTTATCAATAAATCTTACACTTACGATACTACAGATCAGAGCAAAGATAAAAACTTTTTGAATGATTAGGAGGAGCTAATTACTCAGTATAAAAGCAGAATGGAATCTAAAAAACAAATTCAAGATATAGTTCATGAATCTGTGCCATTAGACTCAATTCAAAGCACTTAGAATAAACTTAATAACCCTGCTACTAAGTCTAATAACGTGCTTTTATATTCTTTTGCAACAGTACTTACCATATTCCTTTTCATCATTTTTGTTTCCTTTTATCATTGCAAATGCTTCTAAAAGGTTTTAAAGGGAAGAAGCAAAAGATCAAGGAGGTATCAAAATAGAATTTTTTGATTTATTGCATTTATATAGCACTACTCACAAAGGTGATTGAAATTTAAACTATGAGATTGTATTTGCATTTGTGAAAGTAGTTAAGCGTCATTGTTAGATTAGTCTTAATTTCCATTAAATATTCTAAAAGCATAATTAAATTTCAAATTTTAAAAAATTAAGATTTTATACAATCAGATGTATTTATTCATTCACAGTTATTCATCAAACCATTTCAGTAATTGCCATACTATACAAACTACCACTACTAACCTGCTTCAGTTTTTCATTCTATGCTAGTAGGATCTTTAACTCAACTAAGCCGAATTAATTTTTACCAGTTGAAGCTGTATTTCTAAAAGCCAGTTAGCCCTTGCTGTTTTTACCACAGCCAAATACTCTGCCATCCTTTGACGTAAATAAGCTGTGGAAAGATCCACAAGATATAGAAACTACTTCAATAGGTAATTATGTTTTTGTATCTATAAGCAAATCTGTTAGCTCAAAGAAATCAAACAGGAGCTCATCTTTCTTAAGAGTTAATTAGCCAATCTTAGTAGAACCACAGCCAAATACTCTATTCTTATTTAAAGTAGGATCATGACATAAAATTAGAGTGTGGCATAAGCCAAATTACACATCTAAAACAAATAGTTTTCTGCTACTAAAGTAGTCATACTTCATAAATTCTGGGAAGAAATATAAAATACTTCCAAGTTCTTCTCCAACACCTAACTAGCCATGATCGTTGAGTCCTTACAATAGTACTTGACCACTTTCAGTGATAAGCGCATTATTTGATGGACCAGATATTACTTTCTTTATCTTGTAATAGACTAAATTACCTTTCAAAAGCCTTGGGTCTTATTAATTAATCTCAGTAGTTTATATCTATGTTGAATTTCTTATTGCATGATAATTCATATCAAAAGTAGGATAATATCCCATTCTTTTACCCCATACATAAACTTGATTTTCTTGGTTAAGCGCAATGCAGCTGTTAAAACCAGAAACTAAATCAATGATTCTGTCTAGTGGATTTGAAAATTTGACTAGCTAGGGTTATAGAGTAGCAGATATAGTATTATCTTTAAGACCAAGTTATCCGTATAAATTTTACCCCCATGAAAATACCTAACCTTCGGCCGTCAGCAATAATTAAAAGAGATCTCCACAGCATACTTTTACAACAGGAATATTAAAGAATATTTCAAAGGGAATCGAAGGTATATATTGAACTTAATCTAGTTCCTCCTCAGTGTAGTTAATTTTACTTTCATTTATATGCTTCTCAGTTTGAATAATAGTCATTCCTGATTAGATTATCATAATCTAAGTTGAGTCTTATTCAGCATACAGGAATAAAGTTGAGACGTTTCCACAAGATATTTATCTAACATTACCACTTTCAAACTATTTATTTTTGATAGCCTTTTTCATTGAATGTTTTACATAGTCACCAGCATTTACCTTTGCTTGTTCATCCGATATACCAAGCTCTGAGTTATGGTTAGATCCCCAGACATATAAATTAGATTTTTTACCTTTCACAGTGAATGGGGCGGTCATAATTAGTTCAGGTTAATCTTGTTTGTAACCTTCTCCCAATTCATTTTCAGCTGTTACTTAAACGAAATAGCAGGTATTAGGTTTTAAGTCAGTCATTGTATAGAATAATTCATTTTCTACATTTGGGATAGTATCAAGTTTCTTGAAAGTTTAGTTTTTCCTTTGTATTTCTTAAGAGAAATCTTATTAGTAGACATGATCTTTGGATATAGTAAAGTCAGAGACATATATATGATATCTGAGAATCCTGCTGTTATTATCAGCTGGCTCATCCCATTCAAAAGCAACTAAATCACTGTCAGTGTGCACGCATCTTATCTCTTTAATAGCATCAGGTCTATCCTTGAATGTCTTGAGACTAGTCTGCTTTAATTGTTTGTGATACTCCTCAAGCTTCTTGAACTCCTGTTCTTTTTCTTTCTTGATACGTTCTTATTTTTCTCTGTAGGCTTGTTTTTCCTCTTCAGTCAAACTCATGAAGTATTCATCTTCTTCTTCTTTTCTTTTGGCTTCATCATCACTATCTCCATCTTAGACCAACTTTTAAAGCTATTTGCGGTCTCTTGGATCTACTTTAATTTCCTCTTGGTCACGTGAATCCATATTGCCCACGTAGTCTATGACTTAAGGTTTAGATTTACGAGTCTCGGTGGTTGATTTAGGTGAGTGCTCGATAGACTCTTCACTTTTTTGAGCTTCCTTAAGTTTTCGGCTTATTTCATCAGACTTTGCTTGCTTCTTAAGTTCACTTTCCTATATCTTCTAAATCATCTTCTTAAATTCTGGCAATTTATTTTGGAAGGGTCCAGCATATGAAGGCTTGACTATTGGGTCATGGATGCCTTTTTATTCAAAGTAGATTTCTCTTATCATCTTATCTCTAGTATTTGTTGCATTTGGGTCTGGCTCATGACTGAATTTATAGTCCTTAAACTTAACTCTCAGCTTGCTCTTCTCCTTCTCCATTTTCACAGTCTCAGTTTCTTGAGTTTCCAAGAACATTGTCTTTGGGAATACTACAATTTGCCTATTCTTTTTAGCTCCATGTGAATAGGAAAACAGGCCAAGTTCGTCAGCAAAATTGTGAATAATAGAACGCCCTTCTGCTGGGATGATAGTTGGGAACTCCAATACTTTGGCTGGTCTACCCTCTAGTGCTTCTAGATACATGATGATCAAGGTACCTGCTAGATACTTGAAGTCAGGGGTATTATCCTTTAATACAAGTTTATAGTCTTCAAACATGTCATTGCTTAAAGATATTTTGTTCTGATTAATATCTTTCGTCGGGTCTACTTTGAACTACTCACTCAAATCGTCATAGGTTTTGATGCCTTGCATTATTCTTTCAGCGTCGTACATTTTGGCTGCATCTTTAATATCTCTTACTATGACTGCCTAAGTCTCAGGGTTCATTTACTGGTAAATTTATTGGGTCTTAATGATTTGTTGCTCTTAACTTTCTTTAATTTCTTCACTCATTTAATTTTACATTTAAATAAAAAATAATGATTATAAATTCACTACTCAAGTTCATTTTATCATGAGGGGTTTTGGGGTTTTGGGGTTTTGGGG